AGGGGGTGGGAGAGGAGAAGCGTAAGACCAGTCTCAGTTTTCTGTTCCACAGAGCTTTCAGGCTTGCTTTGGCCATCCTGGGTCCCTTGACACCCGCCACTGGCCATGAGGTGACTGTGAGGACTCAGACACATTGAACACTGGCCTGCTTATCGGTGTGGGGATCACGCACACCGTGGATAATCTCAAATAGCCACTACCCTGGAACACAACAACAACAAAGACGGCGGCTTCTACTTAGCTTTGCAAGATTCGCTGTCATGATTCTGTTTTTCAGTGGTTGATACGTAAGTAACATCTAGACTTGACAGGATCTTGGAGGAATGTTAGGTTGCAGGGTTAACTGGCCTCTGGTTAAACATTGATGCTAGACAGGGATTGGGTATTAACTCAGCCAAAGCCCACGGATGATGGCAGGGAGCTGGCATGTATCTGTCTAATCTTATCTTGATTATTAGACAAAAGCCATCCTTACAAGAGGTATCTACACTGAGGGATGTCTAGTGTGCAGTAGGGATCTGGAGAAGGGCTATCTACCTCGTAGTCCTCCTTCTCTTTTGGTGAACGGGCCGATTTGGGGACGTGGAGCACCCAGTTGATGGCACCTGGCTGAAGAGTTGGATCTCTTGAGAGCCTGGAGCTTGGTCCTCTCCAACCCTCTCTGGTCCCTACAAGGATGCATTTGGAAGGAAGCCCCTTGCTCTCATGAAAACACAATCCAAAAGACGCATCCCAAGAGTGAAGGCTTTAGGAAGTACAGGGCAATGCCAAATGCCGGGAGATCCATCTGTGCCATTACGTCTTGGAGAGCTGGGCCAAAGCATCCCACTGCTCTGTCTTTGGTTCTTCATCTGACTGTGCAGAGTCTCCCCTTTTCAGGAAAGCCTGGGCTGCCCCATTCATTCATGTTGGATCCTAAGTGCCTGTGAAGTGGCCATCACTTCACGGATCTTTAACGGTGATTGCATTCTATGGGGTACATATAAAACCCCCCATTTACAAATGAAAACAGGGCCCCCTGAATTCCTCAGCTAGCAGGTGGCGGGGCTTGGCTGAGAAGGCAGGGGGTCTGAGTGCAGAGGCTGTATGACCTTTCTGTGCTTTCTCCCTCTCAGCTTCCATTGTTCCTGGACAGGATCAGCTGTGGGTGCTGATGCCTCAATTAGATGACAATGCACAGAGTGTGTGAGTCTGGGTACACTAGGGACACAAATCCACAGAAGCTTGTATGTATAAGAGAGATTTTTATCTAAAGGGTAAGCATACATGAAGAAAGCATCCCAACTCAGTGCTGTCCAAGCCCCTAAGTCCAACATTAGCCCATATGTCCAACACTGATCTACTAAATCCCCCTCCATCTCACAAAGCCACACAATGGCGCCGAGTGTAGGAGAAAAGTCGAATCAGTGAGCGTGTAAGCATCTCAGCTTTGGACTGGATCTCCACACGGCTGCTCCAGCACCCAGGGCTGCATCGGGGTAAGTCCATGTGGCTTATCCTCAGGGATGACTTGCAGGAAGTGAGCCTTGCCAGCTGAAGCAGGGAACTGGCTAAGGCAGCTCCAACCTGGTCCGACCATCAGAAAGAAAGAGACCTGAGAACTAGAAAGGTGAGGCTCACTGAGCCATTTATCTCTCTGCCCCTCAGTTAATCCCACATGTGTTTATCAGCCAGGTTGGCACAATAAACCTTAACTATCTCACAGAGAGTGGAGATGCATCCTCTTCCTCTTCTCTCTAACAGCGGATCCTGTTCATAGCGGGTGCTGGTTGTAAAGTGGAAAATGCCAACACCGGCCCCAAAGATGTGACCAATTCCAGTCCCTGAAACCTGTGAATGTTTACTTTTTTTTGGTGGGTGGGGATCTTTTGGGAGACACTTTATTTATTGGGAAAAGGATCTTCACAGGTGTGGATAAGTTAAGGCTCTTAAGATGAAGTCACCCGACCTTTCTGGGTGGACCCTAAATGCCATCACAAATGTCCCTCAGAAGATAGAGGCAGAGGGAGGTTGGAAACACACACGGGGGTGGGGGCCGAGGCAGGAGATCATGGGAGGGATTGGAATGATGCAGCTGGGAACGGCAAGAAACAGCTTCTTCGCTTCTTCTCCAGAGGCTCTGGCAGGGTCCCATTCCCTCTGGGAGGAACATGAACTTGACCATGAACTTCTGGGTCTCTAAGACTACGAGAGAATACATTTCTGTTGTTCTAAGTCATCAGGGTTAGCTTGTTGCAGCAGCCAGGAGAAATTAAAACAGAATCTTAGAACTGCAAGAGTCTTGGAAACCATTGGTCCAGCCCTCTCCTTAAACTTGCAGCTTAAACGGGGAAGCAACTTCCCAAAGGTCTCTGCGGCGAGCGAGGCAGCGGCAGAGGCAGAACCAGGATGCCAGGCAGGTGTCTCCATCCCATGCTTTGCCCACTTCCCCACCCTGCCTCATGCTGAGGCCCAGCGTGATGAAAGCTAAGCAGCGAGAAGCTGTTCTCTTTATTTACTTCTTTTATGCTTATTTTAAAGCAGACAGAGCAATGTAAGTTGGGGGAGTAGAACTATGGGCATTATCATCATAATCACTGAGTTAGGCAGCTGGACCTTCTTGGCCAATGCCTCCTCCCTAGAGGCTGGATGCACAGACTGTGTTTGAGGGCCACTGGGTTTCAGATGGGGAACCATGGTGGTGAGAGAGGTGACCCCAATCATTCCATCAGCGTGTGACTGAGCCCAAAATAGGGTGCAAGGTTTTGATGGCCTGGATTTTCCCTGAGTCCTGCTTCTCACATTTCTCTTTCTCTAAG